ATTATGTTAATGAAACAACTGAAATAGATAGCATTTCTTTTTCTATAGGAAAAAAAAATCTGATTTGTCTTCCATACTTCCAAAATCACAACGTTAAAAAGCATTTTTATTTTGGCATTAAAAAAAAAACTTAAACATTTTGTCCTTAAAAGTAGTTGTTATTTTCATTGTAGAAGATTCCAAAGGATAGTATTATCTGATAGTGCCTTTAATATATCTTGATTTGAGAGTACAGTATTTTGATGGTGAGACCTCTAAATAGAGCCATAGATGTATTCAAAACTGAGGTGTACTCATTGACCACTTGGAAAATTCACTAATTAGGAATTCCTAAAATAAACCAATATTCAATAATACAGTTTTTAAATTTATTTTTAATTTTTATTTTTTTGAGAAGTTTTGCTCTTGTTGCCCAAGCTCGATGCAATAGCAGGATTTCGGCTCACTACAACCTCTGCCTCCCGGGTTCAAGTGATTCTCGTGCCTCAGACTTACAAGTAGCTGGGATTACAGGCATGCACCACCATGCCTGGCTAATTTTTTGTGTTTTTAGTAGAGACGGGGTTTCACCACATTAGTCAGGCTGGTCTTGAACTCCTGACCTGGTGATCCGCCATCTCGACCTCCCAAAGTGCTGAGATCACAGGCGTGAGCCACTGCGCCTGGCTGTTTTTATTTTTTAAAAAACAAATACGGCATTTCGGTGCACATATTACAATGAAATTTGCTTTTTTTTGCCTTGAATGTTACAGACTTCTTTCCAGGTCAATATATATAAATGTGACTTATCCATTCCATTAGTAATAGCTGTATAATATTCCAAAGTATGTGTGTATCATAAATTATGAAGCCATTATTCTAGTAATGGACAGTTTGTCCCCCCATTTGTCATTTATGTGCACACACACACACACGTAAATTTTTTGCCTGTTTCTTTTTTTTCTTGGTGTTATAAACAATTGCAGGAAAGGTCCTTATATGTCTATTTAACTTATGTAGATGTCATTTTGTGCTAGGATGAATTTTACATGTGAGATTGCTGGGACAAAGGATATACATATTTTATAATTTAACAGATTTTAAAATCTACTTTTCAACCATTTTTGTTTTTCAAAAGGTATAGTAATCTACACGGCCAGCCCACATTCATAAGCACTGGAAGATATCAGCTTTTAGTTTTTGCCAGTGTGAGCCTGTGGAATGATAAATTAATTTACCTTCTACTTTCTAGTTAGGTTGAACATCATTACATAAGTTTATTGCCCTTTTACTTGTTAATTTTCATTTGTCTATTTTTCTATTGGGTGGTTTACTTATTTTTTTTTTCTTTAATGTTAGAATTAGTACTCCTTTATCTGTCGTATGTCTTGCCTTTTTTTTTTTTTTTTGGTGTGTTGCTCTGTTGCTGAGGCTGGAGTGCAGTGAGCAGTGGTGTGATCTCGGCTCACTCTTGCCTCACCCTCCCAAGTAGCTGGGGTTACAGGTACATGCCACCACGACCAGCTAATTTTTGTATTTTTAGTAGAGATGGAGTTTTACCATGTTGGATGGGCTGGTCTAGAATTCCTGACCTCAAGTGATCTGCTCCCCTCTGCCTTCCAAAGTGCTGGGATTACAGGCGTGAGACACCACACATGGCCTCTTGCATTTGTTTTTGTCTAGGTTTGCCGTTTGTTTCTTAACTTTTATGGTTGTGTTTTGCTCATGTAGATGTTTTAAAATACACACAGTTAAATCTATCAATTTAGGCAAGTAGTTTTCATATGTTGCTTAAGAAGATTTCCCTGAGCCAGGATCGTGTACATTCTCTGTATTTTATTATAGTATTTTATAGTTTATTACATTTGGCTCTTTAAACCATTTATATGTTTACAGAGATTTATCATGATATTCTCAGTAAATCATTGTTTTCCAACTGTATGTTAATATTCCTTCTTTTAATCACATATTAAGTTTTCGTATGTTCTTGGATCGATTTTGGAAGCTGTTTTCCACTAATCAGAAATTCTTTAAACCTCAGGGACCCATAAATAGGCTTCAGGGTATCAGTGAATTCCCTGAAATTATATACATAACTTTCATCAGATTTGCAAAGGAGTATGATTCCTTTAATGGCAAGGATCACAGATTTGTAGTAGATGTTTCACATTTAATGGACTTTTTTTTGTTTTTAATAACATGCAGATTGTGAATTAAATTTAGGAGATAAGCACATTATAGTTGTGCAAAAGAAGTTTTTCAACTTCAAATGAAGTTAAAAATACTTCTTTGTGTTAAAATTTAGACTTAATTGTCTAGTGAGAAATGGACAAGGACAGGGAATCCAAATGAAAACTATTTAGCTGTGGCTTACTACCAAACAGGTCAGAATTTGTGACTTGTAAAAAGTAGTTCTTTCCGAATTACAAGAGCACACTTGTTGCTAATATTGACTGGTGGAGCAGTGCATTGAAATGTTTTCTCACATAAATGATAGAACTATGTCCTTGGTAAATTTATTTTCTGTAGGGTTTTAGCATTATAAATAATATTTGTTGACTATATTCCTATATCCCTACATGAATTTATGAGCATGTTAGGAATAATTTTACATGGAAAAATTAATTCAGAATGGATTATACTCATCCATTGGTGATAATTATGGCACTCATTATGTTCTTAAAACTCTACTAAACAAAACAACTAATTCCATGACCAAGGTGGAGACTGCTTTTTGAAGTTGGTAGTTTTCACAAGTGCCTGAAACCATGCAGTGATACCTATAAGATGTTCCAGAGAATGATAGATTTCCTCACTTCTGAAATCGTTTGGAAAACCTCACGGTAGCTACTGTTTTGAGGACTTTGGGTTAATAGGAATACTGTTATTCCAGAATTAGTAATTGGTGCCTCATTTATGAGTTCTATATAGGATACCTAGTGCCATGGAGTAGTCCCCTGAAACAGTTGATCTCAATTAAGATAATTCCAGAATGTCTGGTCACCACTGTGGTAAGCTTTCTAATAGCTTTTTGGCACTTAATGAAATTGAAATAATAATGAGTGTTCAAATACTGCTCTCCAGAAAGACCACTTTTGAAGGATGTACTTATAGATGAACTTCATAATTGTGGTTCACTATAGCCTAATTATTTTTAAGATCTACCCATCTACCAGTACCTGTACTTATGTATTCTACCTTTCTGCCTAACAATAGATTAACTGTCAGTGTTCCTGTTGGGTCACTTGTGCACCTGATTCTGTTGCCTCACTTGCCTAAAGACACGTTTCCAGAAGCTTTCCCTCATTGTTCAATAATTACCATTTTCTCCCTTTCTGCTGTATTATTCTCATTAGCGTATAAGCATGATATTGTTTCTCTCATCTGAAAAATGAAACAGTGCTTTCTTTTGATTCCCACTTTTCCAGCTAATCTCTGTCCCATATTTCTGCTCCTTTTTGTAGAAAAACTTCCCCCAAATTTGTTTTTTTTCTCACTGCCTCTAATTGCTAAAGTCACTAGTAACTTTCTTAAATGCTATGGTCAAGTTTTAGTCTTCTTACTTGACATATCAGCAGAAGTAGGCACAATTGATGACTTCTTTCTTAGGAGGTTTTTTTAACTTGATTTCCAAGATACCACATCCTTGGTTTTTTTCCCACCTCACCGGTCACTTCTCGGTCTCCTGTGTTAGATTCTCCTTTTCTCCCCAACCTCTTAACATAAGAAAATCCAAGGACTCAGTTTTTGGAACTCTATTTCTTCTCCCTTAGTTGGTGATTTATATGTTGACAGGTTCCAGATAGATATTTCTCGTTCAGACCTATTTCCTAAACATTAGATTCATGTAATTCAGGTACCCACTTGACATTTTCTTTGGGTAATTACATAGGCTTTTCAGTCTCCAAAACATCAACATTATCTGCAAGTTTTGCACACTGTTGGTAAGATCTGTCCGTCTCCTGCCTTACCCTACCTAACCCCAATCTGTTTATTTCTGTCTTCTTCAATTTTAGTTGATGACACCTCCATTTTTCCAGTGTCTAACGTTTTCCTTGATTTTTCTTTTTCTCACCTTCTGTATCTCGTCTGTCAAGAAAATCTTACTAGCTTTAGAATATGCCTACTACCCAACACTTATACTGTTGTCACCCTAATTCACTGTACCCTCATTTCTTTTTTTTNAAAAAAAAAAAAAAAAAAAAAAAAAATTGAGGGAGAGGCAAACACAGGCTCTAGAAAAACAATATCATCAACTCTCTATCCCAAAACAGGTGATGGCACCCGGGAAGCCTCTTCCCACAGTTAAAAGTTCTATCAGGAAGTTGTCCACAGCTACAAGTTGAGACCTTGCTCTGCGGCCTCTCTGACTGAAATGCAAAGTCTGTTTCCTAATTAACTCAGAACTTTTTATTTGGTTTTGATTTTGGCTTTTTAAACACCCCAGTGGAGCACAAGTGAGAAGCTGAAAAGACACAGCAGAGAAGGGTGGGCCCCTTCTCCCAGTCCATTTGAAAAGACGTTGCATCTTCATACACCTTTCTTCTGTGCAGGTCTTCTGCAGTGGGCAACTCTTTGAGTGGGCACCAAACCTCAGCTTGCATTTATTTTCATTTTCAGACATACCACTGTTGAGACGAAGGAAAGCTGTCTGTCACAGATGTTAAACAATGGGTGGTGTAATGACTCTGCAGCTGTGGTTTCCACCCTGGGTGTGGTGTGGTGTGTGCACATTTACACAACTTCTTTGGCAACAAAGTTGCTTAGAAGGATGCTCTGATGTGAGCAGATTTTCTGCCGAGACAAAAAAACATAGTTGAGGGTTTTTTCTCTCTCCCTTTCACAGTTCTTGTCTACCAGCCCCTGGCAGAAATCACCATTTCTTCGGCGAAGGAATGCTACTTTCCAAAATCCTTTGGCAGACTCTCCTAGAGAGTTGTTTTTCTGCTTCCTAATTTAGAAAGTCTTCAAAGAAAAAAAGACAAAAAAAAAAAAAAAAAAAAAAACTTGACAAATTAATGTGAGAAGAAACGAACTGTGATATAATTTTGCATTTCTTTCATGAAAAGTTTGAGTTTATCATCTATAACCAATAAAATTGGATAAGATAATCTTGGGGAGAAAAGTAAATGAAAACATGTTGTACCCCATGATCAGACTGTTCTTTATTTCAGGTCAATAAGTAACATGTGATACAAATGCAAGATTTTATTAAAATATCATTTGTAAGTGAAATTAACATATCTTGGTGAAGGAAGAGTTTTAATGAAGCAAAATAATGAGTTATGTGCATCAACAGAAAGAGTGAAAAGTATTAACAGTGACATTTAAATGGTTACGTGACTTTATTCTTTGGATAATAACCAACCTTGTGATGTCTATTCAAGAAAAGCCTGTGCCCACTATGGAATTTGCAGTTGAATAAGAGCTTTGTTCTATGCTTTTGGTAATTTAAAAGGAGCAAATGGGAACGATTTAAAGACCTTATAACAATCTCCCACCTACCAGAAGAATCTAAAACGTAAGGTGGGAAGCATTAGAGTGAAAAGAAATACAAAAAAGGCCACACACGCATTGCGTTTGAGAGACAGAGCAAGAGAGAATGAAGTGTTGGAGAGAGAAGGTGCTGGAAGGCCACCTGATGCCAACCCCTTCCTTATCTGTTCTTGGCCGCCAGCGGTTTCCGGCTGATCTTTTTCGATTTGTCATTATTCTTCTTTGGTGGCTCTGGGTTGGCCTGCATGTGTCTGCCGTAGAGGTATTTGTATGTTTCAGAACGGATATACTCAAAAACATGGGACACTCCAAGCTGGAACTGGTCGGCAATGGGGGTCACCCAGGGATTGTTCTCGGCTTTGAATACCTGCTTCTGACCAGTTAAATCCAAGTTTCCTAGTTCTGGGGGCAGAACGGTGAGGCGGTTCCCCTGAATGTGGAGTTATTTAAGCTGGGTAAGCTCCCCGATTTCCTTAGGCAGCGAGATCAGGTCGTTATCCCTAAGGCTGAGTATCTGCAACTTTGTGAGCTTCCCGATGTCTGGCGGCAGGATTTCAAAATCGTTGTCACTTAGATAGAGTGCACACAGGGTGGTCAGGTAGAAGAAGTTTCCCGGAAGAGAATTTTCGTTCAAGTTGTTGTAAGTCAAGTCCAGAACCTCAAGAGCTGGCAGGGAGCCGAAGCCTCGTGGCAACGTGTTCAGCCTGTTCATGCCAAGGTTCAGGTGTTTGAGCTTTTGAAGGCTGCTGATCTGCGTAGGCAGCTCCTCGATCTGGTTATTAAAAAAGTTGAGCACTTCCAAATTCTTCAGTTCTGCTATGTTTGGTGGCACTGTTGTTGGCTTGTTATGGCTGAGGACCAGTTGTGTGATATGGGATAAGGAAAACAGGCCGTTGACATCCAGCATGTTGGAGATGCCCCGGTCACTCATGTCCACTTCGGGCTGGTTCTTCTCCCGGCTCTCCTCCACCAGCTTCTTCAGAGACTTGGACATGGTCGCGGAGAGCAGCCCCTATGAGGGTGGGTGTGCAACCACAGGCTTCGGCAGGACGCACTCCGGCGGCGGGAGATGCCCTGGGTCCGGGCAACACCGGCACCGAACAGCGAACACGCCCTGTCTTGCCGCCCCGCGCAGGCGCACCTGTACCCTCATTTCTAACTTGGATTACTGCCACATCTTAGCTAGTATATTTGTTTCCAAATTTACCTGTAGGCTAGTTTCAATGTAACAGCTACAGTGATCCTTTAAACATGTAAATCAAGTCATGTGGCTCTTCTGCATAAAACTTTAGAGAAGCTTCCTGAGTTAGTATGATGCTAGCTGCTTTTAAAACAAAGCCCAAAATTTTATTGTCTAATTACAATAATTAAAAAACATTTTTTAAAAACTCATATTAGGTGATCTTTCTTGATAGGTAGTTTGCTCGTACATGGATGATTTAAGGTCTTCGGTACCAGTATCTGTTATTCTACCATCCCCTCTGGCCTCAGCCTAGGAAAGAGGCAAGAGAAGGGTGAGAGGGTACCCTCTTCTAAACTTTGGCTTCTTTTACCACTCAGTATGTTAGTGAGAGCTAGTCACTGTCTGTATTCAAGGATTAAGGCTGGGAATGGAGTTTTTAGCTGGCAGTCACCAGTTAAAATGGTATACCATAGAAGGGGGAGTATAAATTCGATTTTTTTATTCCTTTTGAATGAATCCTAATGTTTATTTGACTTGTTTTATGACTCAGTATAAACTGCCTATCTGTGAAATGAGAGAAAATATTTGCAAACCACACATTTGATAAGGTGATGATATTAAAAATATATAAGGAACCCAAACAACTCAATTCCTGTATTAAGAAAATAAATAACCTGATTAAAAAATGGGTAAAGGATCTGAATAGACATTTCTCAAAAGAAGACCTACAAATGGTAGGCATATCCTGTTAATATTAACCTACTGGTGTATTTATATTAAAAGTGGATTTTTGGGAGACAGCATCTAATTTTGGATCTAATTTCACAATCTCTTTTGTAAATGGAATAGTTAGAACACTTAATATGTTTATTTATGTGGTTGGGTTTAAATCTGTGAGCTGTTATTTGTTTTCTGTTTGTCTTAGTTGCTCTGTTTCCTTTTTTCTCGTGTCTTTAGGATTAAAGAGGTATTTTTAAGTTCCATTTTTTTTATTTGATGACTTACTAGCAGTGCTCTTTGTTGTTGTTTTTAGTGGTTGCTTAAGGGTTTATGGTATACATTATACAATTTCTTGTGTAGTATAAGAACGTTAATGTATTTTCACTTTTTTTTCTGGATTCTTCTCATTATATGTTTACTTCTATACATGAGTCCTACAATACATTGTTATTTTTTCTTATTTTTTTAAAGAGATATAAAATGTTTAAAAAATTGTTTAAAATTTATTCACATATTTACCATTCCCATTGTTTTTCTGTGTGTGTGTGTGTGTGTGTGTGTGTGTGTGTGTGTATATGCAGATTTTTATGTGGTATCATTTTTCTTCATCCTGAATAATTTCTTTTAACATTACTTATACTTAAAAATATAGTGGTGATGAATTCTTTTTACTTTATATGTCTGAAAAAGTCTTTGTTTACCATAGCGTGTGAAGGATATTTTTGTTGGGTATAGAATTCTAAGCTAACATTTTTGTTGTTTCAGTACTTTAAAGATGTTGTTGCATTGTCTTCTGGCTTGCATTGTTTCTGATGAGAAGGCTGTCATCAGTCTTTGTTCCACTATATGTAGTGTGTCTTTTATTTTTCACTCTTTGCCTACTTTTAAGATTTTCACTATGTTTTTAATTATTTGATTATAATGGCCCTTAGTTTGTTGAGCTGGGGTTTGTTGAGCTTCTTGGATCTGTGAGTTTATAGTTTGTATTACATTTAAAATATTTTGGCCATTATTTCTTCACATATTAATTTTTCTGTGCTGTTTCTCCTTTCAGGAACTCAAAATACACTTATATTAGACCACATGAAATTGTTCTACTGAAAGTTCAGTGATGTTCTGTTTATCTTTCTCAATCTTCTTGTTTTAGATAGTTTTTACTGCTAGTTCTTTAATTTGCCAATCCTTCTGCAGTGTGTAATCCACTTTTAATCTTACCCAGTTTATTTTTTATCTCAGGTGTTTCTTTTATCCCTGCCCTTCCAGAAGTTCAATATAGGCCTTTAAAAAATTATCTTTCATTTCTTTGCTTAAAATTCTGTATTAGACTGTTTTCATGCTGCTGATAAAGACATACCAGAGACTGAGCAACTTAGAAGAGAAAAAGGTTTAATTGGACTTATAGTTCCACATGGCTGGGAAAGCCTCACAATCATGGCAGAAGGCAAGGAAGAGTAAGTCACATCTTATGTGGATGGCCGCAGGCAAAAAATGAGAAAGCTTGTGCAGGGCAATGCAATCAGATATCATGAGACTTATTCACTATCATGGGAACAGCACAGGAAAGACTTGCCCACATGATTCAGTTACTTTCTACCAGGTCCCTCCCACAACACAGGGGCATTCAAGATGAGATTTTGTTGGGGACACAGCCAAACCATATCATTCTACCCCAACCCCTCCAAAATCTCATGTCCTCACGTTTCAAAACCAATCATGGCTTCCCAACAGTCCCCCAAAGTCTTAAACTCTTTTCAACATTAACTCAAAAGTTCACAGTCCAGAGTCTCATCTGAGACAAGGCAAGTCCCTTCCACCTATAAGCCTGTAAAATTAAAAGCAAGTTACTTCCTAGATACATTGGGTAAATACAGCAATTTCAAGAGGGAGAAATTGGGCAAAACAAAGGGGCTAAGGCTCCATGCAAATCTGAAATCCAGTGGGGCAGTCAGATCTTAAAGCTTCAAAATGATATCCTTTGATTCCATGTCGCACGTTCAGGTCATGCTGACACAAGAGTTGGGCCCCCATGGCCTGGGGCAGCTCCACTCCTGTGGTGAATGCATGATATAGCTTTACTCCCGGCTACTTTCATGGGCTGGCATTGAGTGTCTACATATTTTCCAGGTGCACAGTGCAAGCTGTCAGTGGATCTACCATCTGAGGTCTAGAGGACTGTGGCCCTTTTCTCATAACTCCACTATGTGGTGCTCCAGTACGAACTCTGTGTGGGGGCTCCAACCCCACATTTTCCTTCCACACTGCCCTAGCAGAGGTTCTCCATGAGCTGCCTGGGCATCCGGTGTTTCCATACATCTTCTGAAATCTAGGTGGAGGTTCCCAAACCTCAGTTCTTGACTTCTGTGCACTCACAGGCTCAACACCACATGGAAGATATTGCACCCTCTGAAGGCATGGCCTGAGCTCTACGTTGGCCCTTATCAGCCATGGCTGCAATGTCTGGGACTAGGGGCACCAAGTCCCCAGACTGCACATAGCACAGGGACCCTGGGCCTGTCCCACTAAACCATTTTCCCCTTCTAAACCTCTGGGCCTGTGATGAGCGGGGCTGCCATGAAAACTTCTGACATGCCTTGGAGACGTTTCCCCATTGTCTTGGGGATTACAATTCAGCTCCTTGTTATTTATGCAAATTTCTGCAGCAGGCTTGGATTTTTCCTGAGAAAATTGAATTTTCTATTGCATTGTCAGTCTGCAGATTTTCCAAACTTTTATGCCGTTTCCCTTTTAAAACTGAATGCCCTTGATAGCACCCAAGTCACCTCTTGAGTGCTTTGCTGCTTAGAAATTTCTCCAAATACCCTAAATCATCTCTCTCAAATTCAGAGTTCCACAGATCTCTAGGGCAGGGGCAAAATGCTGCCAGCCTCTTTGCTAAAACATAACAAGAGTCACCTTTACTTCAGTTCCCAACAATTTCCTCATCTCCATCTGAGACCACCTTAGACAGGACTTTATTGTTCATATCACTATCAGCAATTCAACAAGTCTCTAGGAAGTTTCAAACCTTTCCACATTTTCCTGTCTTCTTCTGAGCCCTCAGAACTGTTCCATTCTCTGCCTATTACCCGGTTCCAAAGTTGCTTCCACATTTTTGGGTATCTTTTCAGCAACACCCACTCTACTGATACCAATTTACTGTATGAGGCCATTTACATGCTACTGATAAAGACATGCCCAAGACAGCAATTTACAAAAGAAAGAGGTTTAATTGGACTTACAGTTCCACATGGCTGGGGAAGCCTCACAATCATGGTGGAAGGCAAGGAGGAGTAAGTCATATCTTACCCGGATGGTGGCAGGCAAAAAATGAGAATGCTTGTTCAGGGGAACGCCTCTTTTTAAAACCATCAGATCTCATGAGACTTATTCACTATCATGAGAACAGAATGGGAAAGACTTGCCCCCATGATTCAATTACCTCCTGCCAGGTCCCTCCCACAACACATGGGAATTCAAGATGAGATTTGGGTGGGGACACAGGCAAACCCCATCATATGCTTTTCCTATATATTTTTGAACAAGTGGAATATTGTTATAATAACTATGATGTCATTGTCTACTAATTTTATCATCTGTGTCGTTTCTCGGTTGCTTTCTATTGATTTGCTTTCCTCTACATTATGGGGCATATTACCCTGCTTCTTTACATGTCAGGTAATTTTGAACTGTATGGCAGACATCCATTTTACCATAATTTTACCTTGCTAGGTACTGGATATTTTCATATTCCTGTGCTTTCAAGCTTTGTTTTGGGACATACTTAAGTTATCTGGAAACAGCGTTTCTTTTTGAGGTGTGCTTTTAAGTTTGTTTAATGGAGCCACAATAGCTTTTAGCCTAGGACTAATTTTGCTCCATTACTGGCAGTCCCTTGTAGTGCCCCTTCAGAGTATTCCACCCAGTGCCCTGTGTATTAGAAGGTTTTGCCACTTTGGCTGAAGGGAATACTGACCCCCAAAATTGTTCCACTTGCCCATTTTGTTTTTTTTTTTTTTTGAGACGGAGTTTCGCTCTGGTTACCCAGGCTGGAGTGCAATGGCGTGATCTCGGCTCACCGCAGCCTCTGCCTCCTGGGTTCAGGCAATTCTCCTGCCTCAGCCTCCTGAGTAGCTGGGATTACAGGCACGCACCACCATGCCCAGCTGATTTTTTGTATTTTTAGCAGAGACAGGGTTTCACCATGTTGACCAGGATGGTCTCGATCTCTTGACCTTGTGATCCACCCGCCTCCGCCTCCCAAAGTGCTGGGATTACAAGCGTGAGCCACCACGCCCGGCCACTTGCCCATTTTGAATGGTTTTTTTTTGACCTCAGTTTCTTAACACATATGCACTGAGAGGTGCTCTGCTAAAAATTCTGGTTTTAGCTCTGCCCTCTTCAGTACACTGCCCAGCAAACTTCAGCTGCCTGTCTCTCCTTGATACTTGCTCCTTAATTCAAGGAGAATGTTGGATCCCTGAGTTCTCCCTCCCCATGCTGTAGTGTGGAAACTCTCTCAGGCAGTCATAGGACTCACTTCATTTCCATTTTCTCAGGAATCCTCATACTATGCTGATTTCCTGTTTAATGTCAATGTCTGAAAATTGTTGTTATATATTTTATAATTCTGTTTTCTTGTTTTAGGTAAGAGGGTAAGTCTATATAGTCTTTTTTACTCCATCTTGGCTATTTGTAGAAGCTGAGTGGATCTTTGATTGTGTGTCCCCAGGTTGACCAAAGGGGAAAGTAGTGAAGTTGGATCATTGGAATGATAATTAGTAATTGAAACTAATATTGTAAATTCAGGGAAAGAATCACGATTTTTATATGCTTCTTGATTTCCTCATAATCTCTAGCATGGTTTGGAGCACAGGCCTTAGTAAGTTGTTAACTGAAAGTTAGGGAAGACTTACCCATGATAGCTCTCTACCTTTCTCCTTCTCATAGAAGTTTCAAGTTAGTTAATTCTTTCGAATATTACCAATTTTATTCTGACTTTAAGAAACTAGGCCTATTGTATCCTTTTAGATACAGGTGAGTCTAAGAGGAAAGCTCTTTGAGACTGGCTGATGAACCATCTGGCTCCAGAAGAGCTTTTTTTGCTTTTCCTGTTAGTATGACTCTTGAGCTAACTGGTCACATTCTTGCTGGG